CTTCCCCAGTCCAGGGTCCAGTACCTGAGGGTCCGCCGCTAACGCTATTGGGCACGCGCTCCAGACCTCACACCCCACTGGCCTCTGATGGCTTGCTACCTTGGTCCTTTGTCCCAGGCATCGTATTCCCCTCAATTCCGCTTCTCGAGCTTACTTGACCTGGGACCTTTACCTACAAGTAGGTACCGTACCTTGCCTTACCTGGAAACCTTCCCTGGATCGACGGAGAAGGGCGGCCGCATCGTGACCCAAATCCTTTTCAGGAGCTCCAGGTCCTGATTGACCGACTGTTGTCTTCTCTCAACGACGCACCGCATCCACAGCATAGCCAGTGCTGCAGGTGCCCTTCCGTCATGAAATACCATGGGCCCTGTCTGTCACGGCGTCGACTCTGCCCACATGGAGAGGCGGCACAGTGTTCATGCATCCTGGGCCGTGGCGCACGCGGCTTCGCTTCGCCTTGCTTTGGCTTTACATGACTTTCCGCAACACCAACCGCATTCAGCTTGACATTGAACGCACACACACTCGACTGGCCTCAACACTACTTTCATCCCGAGAAAAAGCCCTTTGCTGCACCATGCGACCTACCAGAAACGGCAGGGCGCAGAGGCGCTGTCAAGCAGAGCCTCGTTTGAGCTTTCTTCTCTTCACCCCATCATCTTTATGGATAATGCACTAATCCCGACATGATCAGGGAGCCATTTCGACAATGATGCATGCCTTCGATCCGATAGAGTTCCCGAGATACACACACCCCCGGAAACAAAAGGACGGAAAGGAAAAAAAATCAATTAGCACCTCTCGGGGGCGATGCCACGGAGCTCGGCCTTCGCTCTCTGTGCCAGTCCAATCCAGCCCCTTTCTACCACTTCTCCTTGAGATTGCAGCCCCTGGCTGCCCAGGCCGCCTCCCGGTCCAATCATCCTCGGACCCATCGACGTCTTCGTTCGAAGCTTGCTAGTGGTCTTCGGCCGCAACTCCAAGCATCCTGGTCCTGCTTCCTGCGCCGGGATATGTTCCCTAGACTTCTTCGCTTCCCCGTTCTCTCCACTCTGCATCAGACTCTGGACGGAGAAGACCTACCCGTCTACCGTTTCAAACCTGGGGCCTGGGGCTCACCCAATCTCCCATCCTGTGCTTCGGATTTGAGGTTGCATCGTTGTCCCTCGCCACCGTCAAATAAGCACTCAAATCCCATGTACTACGTGTGGGTTCGAGCTACGACTCAACGAACACTCTTTAAAGTCCCAAACCTGACCAGAATTCCCGTTTGATCGTCATCGCTTGTCCCAAGCTGTATTTATCGCAGACGTCAAAAATCCCCAGCCCACGTTTGACAGGATAGCAAGGCTCCAACTGCACAGACGGAATCGCCCCTGCGCCGGGCAATTCGACCGGCCTTTTTCTTAGCTCAGTGGACACGGTGCACAAATAGACGACGTAGTTGTTTTCTCCCTTACACAGTAGGCCCAGAACCCACGTCCATCACCTCGGGTCTCCTACCTGTATACAGGGTTGCAAGGTTGCAGAAGGAAATGGACAATGGCAAGCTCGTTTCATCTAAAGGGTAGCATCCAGTCCAGCCCTGTGCGTTGGTATTGCCCGAGATCGATCTCCGCCTGTCATGTGCTTCACTGGCAACCTGGATCTCGTCCCCCGATGATCCCGAGAGCCTTGCAGCCACCGATATCACAAGGGATCTCTGGCCTCTGGACTGGACCTTTCTTAGGCTCACAAACGGGCGCCTGCAGCAACTTGTGGCACGCGGCCACGCGGCATCCCGTCGCCATGTGTACGGTTGAGAAGAGGTATTCCGCTGTCTATCGGTTCGTCCGGCTGTTCTCTGCCCACTCTTGCAGACCTTCTTGCCAACACCATGGCACCCATCCCGTCTATGTTGACGCCAAGCTATGCGATATGGTTTTGACAATGCGATGGAATCCGAAGGAATGACCCGTGAAACCAAACGGTTTGGCGCTGAACTCCAGGTTGCCCTATCCATCAAACACCTCGTGCTGAAGCTCGATGCCCATGTCCTGGGCAATATCCTTCATCCGCTTCTCCATCTCATCCTCCATGCCACCGCCACGACCTAACCACTGACGTAGCTTGAAGAAGTAAAAGGCGACATCTGTTGTCGCCATGACCATTTTGAACAGAACATGACGCCAGGCATTGTTGAATCGCTGCCCCAGGGGAAGCCTCTTGTCCTCGAACATGCTGCGACTCGCCCACTCGCCCATCATCTTGATGCGATTCACCGGGGATCCCAAATGTTGATTGTTGCCCTGGACGATGCGCATGTTGCGCCCGATGAACATGAGCTCCTTGGGTAGCTTGTCACCATCACCCAAGATCTCACGCACTCCCTGCTTCATCCTCCTCTGCATTTCGTAATGGCGCTCGGCCGGCGTCGCCCCCTCCAAGCCCTTCATGAGGCCGCTGCGAGTCCGCTGGTCGCCACCTTCATAGGGACGCAGCAGCGTGGCGCTGGCAAAGATATCAGCGGCCTTGATCCCCCAGTCCTCCGTCACCCGGCTGATGGTCGCGTTGTCGAAAGTCAGGAGCGCTTTCCAGAATTGGCCATACTGCTGGCGGAACTTGGGGTCCATGTACACGTAGAGACCGTGGTCGATGAGCACCAGTTCAGCGCGGCCATTGGGCTTGCGTCGAATGAAGATGTTGCCGGGGTGCGGGTCACAGTGTACGACGCCCCATTTGAAGATTTGCGCGGAGAAGAGATCAATCATGGTCGTCATGACATCCTTGGTCGAGACGCCGAGGCCACCCTTGCCCCGCGGGCCCTTCCACTCGAGGCGCTCCGGCTTCAGCTGCTCGTTGTAGCCCTGGCCTCGGAGCTGACGGCGCGCGAGGTCCTTCTGGGTCGGCGGCGGAAGCTGGGCGCCGTTGACGCCGGGCGAGCCCTTGCCATATCCACCACGCCAGGTGCCCGTGATGCCCTCCTTGTCCCACAGCCTGACGCCTTCGATCCACTCGGTCGTCATGACGCGTCTCGAAGACAGCTCGGGATAGACGACGGGGACGTAGACGCGGCCGCGCAGTCTCTTCTCGCTCTCGACGAGCTTGCGCATGGTCTCGGAGTTGCGTGCCTCGTTCTCGAAATCCGTCTCGAGCTCGAGCCGCTCGGTGATGAAGGGCACGAGGCTGTACAGCGGCAGGTCGAACCACTTGCTGTAGATCCACGAGACCGTCTTGAACGCCCACAGGTCCCAGGCGATCTGGCTCGCAATCTCCCGCTTCTGGATCTTGATGGCGACCTCGCGGCCGTCGGCCAGCCGCGCCCAGTGCACCTGGGCAACGCTGGCGCTGGCGCGCGCGCGCCTCTCCATGATGCCCTTGCCGCTGCCGCTGCCCTGCGCAGCGCCCGGCGCGAAGCTGACGCCAAAGACGTCCTCGACGCTGCGGCCGCCAAAGTCCTCGCGCACGACGCGCTCGACGTCGGCCCACGAGTTTTGCGGCGCATCGTCGAACATGCGCGCGAACATTTTCTGAAATTCTGGCGGCAGCACGGCGTTCGGGCGGCAGCCGGCGGATTGCATGGCGATGGCCTGACGATCTGAGGTAGAGGCCGCCGTTGGCGCCGGAGGAGCTCGAAGAGGCGCTCGGCGTTGCGGTGATGGACATCGGTCACCGAGTCGCCGACCCAGGGGTCCGGGCGAAAGTTGAGCTTGTAGTCGAGAGCGACGAGGAGGCCGGTGCCAAAGGTCCGCGCCGAGCGCGTCACGCCGGCGGCGTACAAGTAGCTGTCGAGGGCGTAGAGGGCGCCGGCCGTCGCGGAGAGGAGGAAGAGGCGGCGGAAGAGGCGGCGGGAGCGGGTGTAGGTGCGCGCGGCCTGCGGGGCGCCGAGCGAGGAGGGCGAGGGGGGCGCGAGCGGCTGGAAGGCGCTGCGACGGCTGGCGGAGCGGGTTTGGAGGGTCGATGGTCGGGGCTGGCGCGCCGCGAGGTGGGTTCGGAGGAGGCGCGAGGATGAGGGCGCCGCCGCCGTAGAGAGGGTTCGCCGGGATGCGGCGAAAGTGCACCGGGATGTGACGATGTGTGGTCGTGGCGACGAGAGCGGGCGCCGGCCGAGGCCCGCTATCCGTTGTTGTAGCATGGCTCGTGTGTGTTTGTGTGTGTGTGATGGAGAGCCGATGTTTGTAGGGGCGAGGTGGAGGAGGAAGATGGCGGCGAGCAGCAAAGGCTCAAAGGCCTTTGGGTATGGCGGTGGAGAGACGGCTCGAGGCTTAGTGATGACTGCGATATGGCAGGAAAGATTGTTCTTGGGTCGTGACGACATGATGGGTGTCTGGGGTTTGCGACGGGACCGTGCGCTTATCCCCGGAGAGCTGCCTATTGATCAACAGGCGCCGGAGATAGTCCTTTGCACGGTGGCATGAGGATGGACGACATGACTGAGGCTCCTGGCGTGTATCATCGTGAGCTCGATAAGGCGTTTTGCGCTTTGCGGGCTTGTGAATTCTCTGTGATGCTGTCATGAATTAAAAGCTGGTGTTGCCACGCAGCACGTGGATAACCTCACATCTCAGCGGATCAAAGCTACACTATCCCACAGCGACGTCTTGTCTTGCGGACCTCGTTGCAATTCAACTCGCAATTAATCTCGTGTTGTCAAAGGCGTCTCTGGGATACATGATTTCTGCAAAGTAGATTTCGAACAGAACGCGATACCTGGAATGACAGTTGATCCGAAGATAAACGTGTCATACATAGTGTGCTGCATCTCCGCATTGACACCAGCACCACCACGCGACCTCAGGCACGCAGTATAAGTTGGTCAAAAGCTTCGAGTTTTAGACCTATTCGGTATGTTGTGCGTTATTTCTGGGATATGTGTTGCATACCAAGTATACCACATGCAGTAGTTTTAGTTCTGCGGTTTGATCTCTACTATGTCCAATCGCAGTTGTGATGGATTTGTGAAGCGACTTCTCGTAACAAGAGTCTCAATCCATGGAACCAAGCATTCCAGTATACAGGAAGTTGGTCAATCATCAATTCGAACCTCCGGGGATTCGTGTTGGAATACCACAGTTGAAAGTCGCACAACGGGTCTCGGCACGTACCACTCCAGGCTGGCAGAGAAAGAGGATTCAAAGTCTCAACAAGACGAAAGCCAACCAGATTTAGACAGCGCCCTTCATTCTTCCCTAGGGCCCGCGTCCACGTGGTCGAAAACGCGAAGCAGACAACAGGCAAACTATCGAACGGGATCGTCATATCGGGAGCATATCCCAACATTAAGAGCCACACGTCCGACTCTCGAGGCAAGGCCCATTGCCCGGCAGCGAGACAGCGGCATCCAGATCGCGGGCCCAGCCAACCACAATGCGCATCGCCGCCAAGAGGCCGCACAGCATCAAGTCGGAGGCAAATGCCAGACTGCGAGCTGCACGCGCCTGTGGCCGGGCAGCGAGAGCAGCGGGATGAAGCAGGGCGGTCTCGGACTCGGAAATTCTGAGACGTGCGGGAGGCGCCGCGTCGCAGCATCGAGCCGTGCTCCGCTGTTTGAGGACGGCGATGACGTGGTGATCGGGCTAGATTGGATGGAGAAGGCAGGGCAGGCCTTCGCCAAGGGTACCTGTTTTTGTTCACTTGATGGAATGGGAGAAAAAAACTAAAACTGAATTTGAAGAGGAGAGAAAAAAAAAAAAAAAAAAAAAAAAAAGGTAGTCCCAGCTTCGCCACTGCCTGTTGACCCGATCGACTCGAGCCATGCTCACGAGCAAATTGACTTCGAGACCCGGCGGAGGAGGACAATAGGTCCGTGGCTGACTGAGGCTGGTCTCGGCATATTTCGCATAGGCATGTGTCGGAGCACGGACAAAGCTTGACAGGCTGACGGGGGCCGGCTGATACGGTACTTTCCCACATGGATGATCTGCGGGGCAGGCGAGAGTCCAGATGAAGCAGCCGGGACGTCTGCTTCAGAAGCAGTCAAGGGGTCTGGAGTCTGACAAGGGAAGAAGCATAGGTGGTTGAGGCTCTCGTCGTGTCGAGTTTCGGCGCAGCAGAGAGGCCTCGAGTCGCGCTGGAAAATCAAGTACGAGTAAAAGGCGACCGGCCTGTCGATGAGGTGATGGAAGAATGAGATCATGCCAATCAGCGGACATTACCATGTTGCGAGTTTTCTCCCAAGGAGATGACGGCAAGGAATCGACCAGGGTATGGAAGCAGCACATGAATTGGTAGGCAAAAAGAAGAAAAAAGACGCGGGAGAGTGCGTTTGATGGGACGCGTGTCAATTGGCACGTTTGGGGAGGTCGTGGCCACCCCACATTCAATCTTGGCCCTTGAAGCGTGGGAAAGGAGAACCCCCCGCCGGAGCAGGAATGACCGACCCAGCTTCCTTTCTTGCATCAACAGAGGAAGCACGTTGGAGCATGGCAGGAACGAACAATTGACCACCCCTCCAGAACGTAACCGATTTCGGACTCAGCAAGGTCCCTTCGAGGCCCAAGGGAGCATCAAACGCCCAGAGGCCCCCGAAAACACATCGGTCCCAGCACCAGCAACTAAGGTTCTTAAAACATGCTCCAGTGCAGTGAAGGTTCAGCTACCGTGCCTTGCGTGCCTATTTTAGTCTGGCCTCCAGCGCCCTCGTGGCTCCAGACAAACATGGCGCTATTGCCATTCCAGGTCAAGGCGAAGCACTTGAGTGCGGAGAACATCCAGGCTAGCTCTGGTAGCGCATGAGTGGTCAAAGCATTGTCAAGTTCACAAACGAGGTTCAAAGGAGCGGACAGTGTGGCGGGGTTCCAGCGAAAGACGGGAGGGGCTCAAAATATCGCATTGTCAAGACTCGCCATGCCAATGAGGTGTCAGTAGGTACTTTTTTAGTCTCAGAGGTATGCAGTGTTCAAAGGGCTTCCGAGTGGATACGAGGATTGGAAGCCAAGCGGCGCTGGTCATTGGCTGTGCCCTCTTTTCGACGAGGGGGGGGCGCATGCGGGTTCCGAGCCGATTTCGAAAGGCATGGGCGAGGAAGGCAGAATGCAACAGTAGAAGGGGAAACATGGCAGCCCGCATCGCATCGTCTTGTTTTTCATTTGAGCCACGTCGACGGTGCTGCTGCTGCTGCTGCTGCTGCTGCATTCTGCTGTTGTATGTATCCTTGCATCGAGTGCGTCTTCTCGACCAACTTTCCGACCTTGCCGCGAGTGAGAGACACATGTCGAGGATCAAATCTCCGAGCCACCTTATCTCCAAATGATGCGGGCAAGGTGGGCAGCACGCCAGTGTTGTTGATGCTGGTCTGGCCTCGTCTGCTTGGAAACCCTGTCTGATGGGAGTGGAGGAAAAGCAAAAGCAACCAAGGCAAGGCCCCCGGCACGCTGTTGGCTTCTGCCACCGTAACATTCTCCCGCAATTCCACCCTCCTGGTGGCTGCAAGTGAGGTGAGTGCGTGTGGTGGAGTGAACAGTGGCTAGTACATGTAGCTTAGCCTGCAACCTGCGAATGCCCCACCACCCCCCTCCCCCCCCCAGTCTAGATAGAGAGATGTATAGAGATATATATAGATAAATATATATCAAGCGCAACGGGAAACAAGCTGGTGAACAGAAAAAAGGACCAGTTAAGAGAAAAAGCCCTCGAACGACCGAAAAAAGCGAAGGGGCACCCGGTTAGGAAAAACCAAAGAAAAAAGAAAGAAAAACCATGGACAAA